TGAAATTTAATGCAGTCATGCCTATTGCACTCTAATTAACAGTAAGAGTTCAATTGAATAGACCACACTGGTCTTTTGTACAGTACAGCACAGAAGATTGCTGTCTTATATAATTGGATAATATAACTATGTAATTGCATTTAATAATTTATCAAATACATACATACTAATTTTCAGCTAAATTATTAGATAAACAACTTTTTCACTGTGATTTGTGGGCTGAATGAGTAGCAATCTTGCCACTGTGTGAGAGGCTGCTGACTCAAATTTCACTCCAGTGCCTCAAGCATGTAATCTAGATTGACACTCCACCTCAGTGCTGCAGTTCAGAGATGCCTTCTTTCAGATGAGCCATTGAACTGAGACCCTGGGTAGATGTATAAAAACAGTCCTGTAGAACTAGTTCAAAGAAGATCAGAGGGGTTGGTGCGCCAGCTAATAATCAAACAAAGTAAAAGCTTTCTGGTGTCATTCCTGCTCGTGAAAATTTGCTGTGCATAATTCAGCTGCATTTGAACATTACAACAGTGGCTACAGTTCTAAAGTACTCCATTAACTACGGAGTGTTTCAGGACGCGAGGAAAGGCAGTATATACAAGTGAGCTTTTCTTCTTAAATAGCTGCCTGGTAATACAGATTATGGGCATTACTAAAAAGAGACATATTTTGTTGAAGCTTCTTTTTTTTACTTGGCACTAATCAGAACAATTTGCACAAAATAGCAAGATAAAATGAAAACAGCATTTTTGCTAAATGACAATAGAGTGCAGATTGGTTGGCAAGTGGACTCTGATTGGTAGAGGTGTTGCCATGGAAAATGTGCCAGTTAATAACGACTGACAGCATATCCCTTCAGCTGTTACAACAATAAAGGTATCCACCATACTCAAAAATCCTGTGCTTGCAAAACTCACGATGGTGTCCAGCATTGAATGTGACTCCACAATTGGATATTGCTTGTTAAATAATCCTGACAACCAATTTAGGATTGCTAATTGGGCTTGTACTGTGGCGAACTTGTCTGTACTGGATGCTAAATATGTTAAGATACGAGGACCTGTTCTTTGTAGACAGAAAGAACATTTTTACATACAGGTGACAGCCGTTCTGTGCTTCGTTTCTTAGGCAATGCCTTGACTGATCTGAGCCAATCTGCCTTGTTTAAAATTAAAACAACACTTAATAGTTAACTGTCAGTCATCATTAACTTGTACATTCTCAATCAGAATCCACTTGCCTCTCATACGTTATAAATATATTTTCCCTTTGCTTTGGTATCTCTTGCCAACTGTCCTGATGAGTACAAGATGAACAGTTTTGACAACTGTGTCTTTCTAACTATGTATATGGCAATATATGGAAAAATATCAAAAATACTGAAAGTCTGAAATAAAAACAGAAGATGTTGGAAATATTCTGCAACATCTGTGATTAGAGAAATTTAGTTAACGAGGTTGTAGACTTGCTCGCCAAGCCGGTGTGTTTGATTACGATCAGCTCAGCGAGCAAGTTTACAACCTCATCCACAACCCGAGCTACAAGACTTCTCAAAAACTTTAAATTTAATTAACATTTCAGGTCAATGAACAATGGGTTTTGATGAATGATCATTGGTCTGAAACATTAACTCGGTTTCTTTCTCCCTGTCTGACATGCAAAAGCTAATATTCTAGCACTTTCCATATTTATTTCTGAAGCCAAAAAGTCTTGAATACAACAGTCAAAATTAGTTCCCCTCAGAAGGATGAAATTCCAGTGGAGTGATGGGTGGTGGCTGCAATAAATACTGACATGGATTGACTGTGCCAAGTGCAATCAGCCATAATCATTTTGTATAGCAGGGAAGACTCGATGGACTGAATAGCCTAGTTCTGTTCCTAAGTGGTTTGCTTTTGTGCCAGATATCCCACTTAAAAAGCTTGTATTCAATTAGCACATTTAATGTAATTAAAACAACAGCTGCTATAATCAAACAAAAATTGGCACTAAGCATCATAAAGAGAAATTAGAACAGGCGCTGGGTCAGGGATGTACATTTAGGAAGGGAATCAGAGAGGTCTGGGGCTTAGGCAGATGGGGTCACAGTGGTGGAGTGTTGAGGAATAGTCATGTTCAAGAGGAGAATACAGGAGCTCAGAGGTCTTGGAGGATAGGGGAGGCATTAGGGAGAGGGGTTTTAAGACAGAATTGAGAATTTAAAAGAAAAGTTGTTCCCAGATCAGGAGCCAATATTGATTACTGTTACGAGTAAATAGAAGCTGATATGAGTTAGGATATGGGTAGCATGAGCTTAAGTCTACGAAGTGTGTAAAATAGGAGAGCGTTAGATAGTCAAAGGTAACAAAGGCATAGGCCATAAGGATAACTATAGTGAAGGTACATGTCGCAAATTATTTGTCCAGTAAATGGCAGCCAGGGGAGAGTAATTACACAAAAAAAGCAAAATCAATCCCAGTCACCTATAGAAGTATGGCCTCCAGGATTTAATTGTAACCATCTTCTTTCTGACTGGGACCTACATTGTATGCAGCCTTTGGAAGATTGACATTGGACAGTCAATGTGAGGGATTTTGCATTTAATTTGTCAACCATGGGAAATAAACAGGGTGTTGGGCAAACCCCATCTCCCTGGGCTGAGATAAACAACATAAACTGATGTTAACAAATAAATTTAGCTCAACAAAAGCAATTTCAGTTCACCGTCACCTTTTCAAAGGCAATTAGGGATGGGCACTAAATGTCGGCCCAGCCTGTGACACACAAATCCCATGAGTGATTACAGAAAACTTCTTACTTATGATGCTGCAAAGCTTTAGAGTTGATTCGGTGTGAATAGTTGCGAAATAACATGCGGTGGTAGTGCCGTTTCTCAGAGTTCTTTTCTGCCAACGACAAAGACATCATTAGCTAGAAGCTTCTCTTCTATTTTTAAAAGAAGAACATCTATTTCTTTTTTTTCCTAGGGTTTCCCTGATCCATACAGCAAAGTATCAATAAGACTTGTCTTGATAAAAAAAATTTACAGTAAAGAAATGGACCATTCATCTTTCAACACTAGTATTTATGTTCCAGGAAGTTATCCCCCCACTGTATTTCATCTCACTTCCATTAAAATATTTTTCTGCCCCTTTTTGCTTCTTGTTTACCTAATTTCCTCTTAAATACATCAATGTTATTCAACTAAACCACCGTCTATGGTAACAAGTTTCACATTCTCCCCACTTGTTCGGTAAAGACATCTCTCCTGAATTCACAATTAGATTTGTTATTGTAATGATAGTTTTGGACATTACTGAAAGTGATATTTCTCTCCATCTCGCCTATTGATCCTCCTCCTTACTTTGAAGACCTCTAATGGATCAAAGCTCATCCTTCTCTTTCCTTGAGAAACAGGACCTAACCTATCCGGTCTTTCCAGATAGTTATAAGCTCTCTGTTCTGGTATCATCCATTTTTTGCAACTTCTCCAGTGCTTTGATATCCTTTTACTAAAAACCATCCACAGTTCTTCTAACTTGAGCTCAGTAGATATTTCCTTTATTTATTCATGGGATGTGGAGGTCGCTGGCCAGGGCAGCATTTATTGCCTGTCCTTAATTGACCAGAGCGTCTGGAGTTACATGTAGGCCAGACCAGGTAAGGACGGCAGTTTCCTTCCCTTTGGACATTAGTGAGTCAGATGGGATTTTCCGACAATTGGCAATGGATTCATCGTCATCATTAGCCTCTTAATTCCAGATATTTATTGAATTCAAGCTCCACTATCTGCCTTGGCGGGATTTGAACCCAGGTCCCCTGAGCATTGTCTCGGTCTCTGGATTAAAAGTCCAGTGATAATACCACTAGACCATTGCCTCTGAAAGAATTCCAGTAATACAGCACTCTCTCCATACTGTGCTGGGCATGTCAGTCTTCATTCTAAACTTGACTTTCTGGACTGGAACTCATTATCTTCTGTCTCAGACACACCAAGTGCTGCCCATCGAACCACAGCTGATACTGTGCAGAATGTGACTGTTCAAACCAATTCATGAGGTTTATGTGCTAATGATTTTAGCTTCTTCCAAAGTGAATCGCCAAACCTGAAGTATCTGCAAAGTATACAGGAAACACACGGAAGCAGACTCTAAACATTATTTTTTCTTTATTCATTCTTGGAATAAGGGGCATCACTGGCTAAGCAGCATTTATTGTTCATCCCTAATTGCCCAGACAGCAGTTAAGAGGCAACCACATTCCTGTGGGGCTGGAGTCACATGTAGGCCAGACCAAGTAAGGATGGCGGTTTCCTTCCCTAAAGGACATTAGTGAACCAAATGGGTTTTTTCAACAATCGACAATGGATTCATAGTCGTCATTAGATTCTTAATTGCAGATATTTTATTCAATTCAAATTCCACCATCTGCCGTGGCAGGATTTGAACCCAGGTCCCCTGAACATTGCCTTGGCCTCTGGATTAAAAGTCCAGCGATAATGCCACTAGACCATTGCCTCTGAAAGAATTCCAATAATACAGCACTCTCTCCATACTGTGCTGGGCATGTCAGTCTTCATTCTAAGCTTGAGTTTCTGGACTTGAACCCGGGTCCCCAGAATGTTTTCTGGGTCTCTGGATTAACAGTCCAGCGATAATACCACTACCATCAAAGGACGCCATGATTTCCTTGTAAAGTTTTGGTCAGTCACTCCCAATTTTGTCCATCCACCAATTAGTTTTTAAAGTGGTGTCTATGAGAACAACGGAGATATCAAACTAAGTGAGGTACAGGAACAAAGGGGATCATGGCGTACAGATCTACAAATCGCTAAAAGTGGTGACACGTGATCCCAAAGTGCTAACACAACACTGCGATACATTTCTAGGAGAAAAAAGCTCCTGATCAAGGAACTCCTCATCCTCCATGCAGAAACACAGCTACAAAGACTCAGACTGTCCCTAACATGTCTGTAACTTGTTCACACTGACTACAAGTGTGAAGAAAACTGGGGTGTTGCATATTCTACCCTGATCACACTAAATGCATCCCACTGGAAGTCATTAGTAAATGATGCCACCTTGAGTCCACAGGGTCAGATAACCTGAATCTTGATAAACAGGGAAAACAGCTACCACCTTTTCCTACTCATGAAATGTCTATTGGAGCAAGCAAATGGTTTTGTAAGTTCTGTGTTCTCAACACAGAACTGTTTGGCTGTGAAACATGGGTGACTTACAACTGCTAGGAAAGGAAGCTCAATAGTTTCCATGTTTGTTGTCTGTATTGCTGTGCAGACAGCTAGCATTTACTCAGTGGATGGAATGGCCTTTTGTGCTGTGATATCTCTTTGACTAAGAATACACAATTAGTTACTGCTAGAATTCCTAGGAGAGAAAAGGGAAGAACTAGTCATCGCACAGTTAGCTTCAAACAGTACTTGCTACCTGTGAGATACAACAGCTTTGAGTTTGTAAATATCTCCCACCATTTTGATGGAAGAAATTGGAAAATGAATATGTTGGGGTACATTAAGATATTAGACATACCACTACTTTAGTGTAGATATCCTCTGCAAACTTTGGGTCTTTGAATTTGGATTCAACTGGAAATGTATACTGAACCAACCATTCAAGAAGTGGTAGATCCAGGCAGGTTCCCATGTTGGGATATTGTGATGCATGAATGTGTGTGTCAACTAGCCCTGGAATAAAGAATTCTTCCCTGAAATAAAAACAATGAAGATCATTAAGGCTGAAACACTATCCTTTAACACTTAATCCAATTTAATGCAATTCATGAAGGACAACAGCAATAAAGTTAATATTTACACACAATTAATATGACTGCTTGTTTTTGTTTCTGATTTACAGCATCAGCAGTGCTTTTGGTTTGTATTTGATATAATTGCTTATACATTACTGGTTTAAAAACAATCAGCAGTAAAAGAATGAAATAAAAGCCATCATGTTAGAAAAAAAGATTGCAGACCCCAAAGCTTCTTTGTTCTGCATTCCTATCACTCTCGCGAAAGATGTTTCTCCTAAATTGTCCATGGGATTTATTAGTGACTCTGAGAAAGGCTCTTCTCCATTCCACACCATCCCTCCCCATCACTCCTTCACCATTCTGCATCACCCTCTGTCCCTCAACATCATCTCTCCCTGCTCACTCCTCATAGTAGCAGTCACATGAAAATCTTGGCATTATAGGACGTGATGATGTTCTACCTTGTAAATGCCTTGTGACTTCTGGCTTCTCTTCAGCCAAGAATGCAGTGCTCCACTGTGTAAATGATGCTGTTTGCTTGGAATTGTATGCAGTAACAAAATGCATTAATAAAACCCTTTTATTTTCACAAAATATCCCAAATCATTTAATCAAATCAAGCCATAGAGAGGATAGATAATCAAATCTTAAATCAAAGTGGCACATGGTATGGTACATCTTGAAAGAATGGCTTATGCCCAGGCAGCTGAAGGCATAGTTGCTAATGGTAGAACATTAGAAACCCAAGAGAATACCCAAGAGGTCAGAGTCAGAGGAGCACAGAGATCTCAATATCTCTATAATGGCTGAAGGAGGTAACAGAGATAGGGAAGGATAAGACCATGGAAGGATAAAAGTGTGACTCATGGAAAAAATGGTTTTCTACTCAAGAAGCCTTCTACTCCATCCCTCATTTCCCATAAACTTGGTTCCATAGCCAACACCCACAGATGTCTTGCTGGAAAAAGACAGCAAAGGCAAGAACAGTCTTCCAGTGTCCTGCCACTGGCTGTCATAGAAATAAGAAACAAAAATGGGTAAACAGTCAAAATAAGGGCCAATCCCTCATGAAGTGAGGTAGTTGGTCACCTTGCACTTGGAAAGCAATCTGTTTCAAGGCAATTACTTCACAAAGGGGCTTTTGTCCTGGACACTTGAGTGTCTTTAAGCCCAACCCCAAAATCAGCTGTCCTTTTCCAGCTGCTCACCATCCTCATTTATGTCTGAGGGAAGCATTATGCTGAAGCAAAGCAAGATATCTCTGCACAGTATGTAGGGAAATAAGTAGTGAACAAGAAAGCATGGAATAGAAATAAAAGGAGCTGAAGATGCAAATCAAAAACACTTTAAGGTAGAACTAAGGTCACAAATGCAAAAACAACACTATGCTTTATTCATGTTGCAAAGTCTCAAGCATGGTTTTAGGGATTTTCACTGCAAATTCATATGGCTAATGAGTGAGGATACTGTTCGATGATATTGACCAACCTTTGTTGAAGTTCTCTGATGTTCTTTTTCTGGAAATGCCATGTTTGGAATAACTCTTCCTCTTTATCAACAGTCTCGATGAAAACAATCTACGTGGTAACAAGAAATGTGGTTTAATTCAGTTAGATTGGAAAAGTTTGTTCCTTATTGGAATATTGACGGCAGAAACTTATATGACTCTTAACAACATGGGCTAAGGTGAAAAATCTGAGACAAGTGTATGAGAAATCTAGCAAAGCCTTTCTAGATGTTGGCAGCAACAAGTCACATTTTCCAAAGAAATCCCAGTATGGCATCGATAGGATTCTTGCTAGAAAGTGATGAGCTGCCTATTAATGGGGATTATTGCTTATTATCACCCTCATTAACATTCTTATGTCATTAGTATGCGCATTTCTCCTCTACCATGCACCAGATAAAGACTAGAATTTGAGAATTCTCGACATAAAACTCAGAGTGGGGAACTGCCTGGTGACTCTAGCTTGCTCCTCAGTACCACTTGGGCATCAGCACCAACGTCTCAGGGCATGCTTCTGGCAAGGGGGACATACACTCCATGTTTATGGATACTGGAATCTGATAATGTGTCAGCTTCTCCATTACCACCATGACACATCTCTGATCCACCGAAAGGACACTTATGCACTGTGCACAGAGACAGGCACCCAGCTCACAGCTTGGACCAGGCTGTATCCCAAAGGTTGTTGCCTTAGCGCCCACACACTTGGTCCCCATGTGGATGCTCACAGCATCCCTCCTGGGCCTTGCCCTCCTTTTTACACTTTGGCTCCTCAACTAGAGCTTAAAAGTTCACAGAATGCTGCATTGCTTTTCCTCTCAGTGTGGCCACAAAAGCAGGCAGCAGTCAAGGAAGTGGATATATTGCTGTAAGACTCATTGCTGCATTAATCTCTCATCTTCACTATGTCCAGTACAACGGTATGTGCTGCAAGCAAACGCCTAGGTCACAAAGTCAAAGGAGAGTTGAAGGCAAGCAGACAGGTCCTTACCTGTTCTGGCCTACATGTGACTCCAGACCCACAACAATGTGGTTGACTCTGAACTGCCCTCTGGGCAATTAGGGATGGGCATTAAATGCTGCCTAGCCAGTGACACTCTCATCCCGTTAATGAATAAAGAAAAAAAAGGTGGGAGTAGACTGTAGGATATTAACGGATGTTGGCTGTCTCTGTGAGACAACAGTATATACATAGACAAAGTTACAACAGAGACACTTCGAGCTCTATAAAACTCAATGAATTTATTAAGTGAATGATGCACACCTTTAACCACTAGAGATATCTCAACCTCTGTCCTTTGCTGCCCTTAGTTCTGGAACCAACTCTGAACGTTATTACCTGGGAGAGTTGGCAACCAGTCAGGCTGGAACTTTTCTCAATGTCTTCATCATGCTTCCTGATACAGGGTATTCCTTCACATTTGTTAGTTGCTACTGAAATCAGGGATTTCCTAGGCTGCTTTTTGTACAGATCTCTGTACCAAGTGTATGCCTTACTTGGAATTATCTGCCATGGTATGATTCAAACCCTGTCTCTAGACATTATCTGGGTCTTTGGATTAACAACCCAGTGGTTATACCATAAGGCCATCACTTCCCCACTGTTGACTCTTTTGTCAATTTCTGTATTTTTAGCATTATCCAACAAGGGTATGGCATATGGAGGCCATAAATAGCTTGGGCAAACAATTTGCTGAAGTAAGGACATGGTTAGTGCAGTGTAGACAGTTTTACCTAATGATCTCATGCAAGGACAGTCAGCAGTTTCATAATGTTCAGTGGTCATGAAGCAAATCCAAATAATCACATAATATCACTGCAGGAAGTGGTCCAGGATACAGAAAACAGATGGTGCAAGCAGACAGAACCATGAAATACACAGAAAAAGCAGAAGTTCTGATAAAATTGCCAGGATAGCGGCATAAATCACAAGGATTGAGATATCCAGAAGAGACAGGATACAAGCTTGCTCTTGCATAAGATAGCCAACTTGAGCTTTTATATGTTATTTTGGCTACAGGTGGCAGAGTGCTTTGGAGACTGCCTGTAGAGATCACTCACTGCTGGGTGGTTAGAAGCTCTGAATGAAAATTGATTTGTTCTACTTTACACGAAACTCAAGACTCTTCTTTGAAATAACAAGATCTAGAGCTGATGAACACAGCAGGCCAAGCAGCATCAGAGGAGCAGCAAGGCTGACGTTTCGGGCCTAGACCCTTCTTCAGAAATGGGGGAGGGGGAAGGGGGTTCTGAAATAAATAGGGAGAGAGGGGGAGGCGGATAGAAGATGGATAGAGGGGAAGATAGGTGGAGAGGAGACAGACAGGTCAAGGAGGCGGGGATGGAGCCTGTAAAGGTGAGTGTAGGTGGGGAGGTAGGGAGGAGATAGGTCAGTCCAGGGAGGACGGACAGGTCAAGGGGGCGGGATGAGGCTAGTAGGTAGGAGATGGGGGTGGGGCTTGAGGTGGGAGGAGGGGATAGGTGGGAGGAAGGACAGATTAAGGAGGCAGGGACGAGCTGGACTGGTTTTGGGATGCGGTAGGGGGAGGGGAGATTTTGAAGCTTGTGAAATCCACATTGATACCATTGGGTTGCAGGGTTCCCAAGCGAAATATGAGATGCTGTTCCTGCAACCTTCGGGTGACATCGTTGTGGCACTGCAGGAGGCCCAGGATGGACATGTCGTCTGAGGAATGGGAGGGGGAGTTGAAATGGTTCGCGGCTGGGAGGTGCAGTTGTTTAGTGCGAACCGACCGTAGGTGTTCTGCAAAGTGGTCCCCAAGCCTCCGCTTGGTTTCCCCGATGTAGAGGAGGCCACAACGGGAACAGCGGATATTCCACATTAGCAGATGTGCAGGTGAACATCTGCTTGATGTAGAAGGTCTTCTTAGGGTCTGGGATGGGGGTGAGGGGGGAGGTGTAGGGGCAGATGTAGCACTTCCTGCGGTTGCAGGGAAAACTGCCGGGTGTGGTGGGGCTGGAGCGGAGTGTGGAGCGGACAAGGGAGTCCTGGAGAGAGTGGTCCCTCCGGAAAGCAGATAAGGGTGGGGAGGGAAAGATGTCTTTGGTGGTGGGGTCAGATTGCAGATGGCAGAAGTGTCGGTGCATGATGCGTTGGATCCGGAGGTTGGTGGGGTGGTACGTGAGGACGAGGGGGATTCTGTTTTGGTTGTTATTGCGGGAAGGGGGTGTGAGGGATGAGTTGCGGGAAATGCGGGAGACACGGTGGAGGGCGTTCTCAACCACTGAGGTGGGTAAGTTGCAGTCCTTGAAAAACGAGGACATCTGAGATGTTCGGGAGTGGAATGCCTCATCCTGGGAGCAGATGCGGCGGAATAGGGGAATAGGGGATGGCATTTTTGCAGGAAGGTGGGTGGGAGGAGGCAAATTCTAGGTAGCTGTGGGAGTCAGTGGGCTTGAAATGAATATCGGTTTCCAGGCAGTTGCCAGAGATGGAAACAGAGGTCCAGGAAGGAGAGAGAGGCATTAGAGATGGTCCAGGTGAACTTAAGGTTGGGGTGGAAGATGTTGGTGAAGTGGATGAACTGTTCGAGCTCCTCGTGGGAGCACGAGGCGGCGCCGATACAGTCATCAACGTAATGGAGGAAGAGGTGGGGTTTAGGACCAGTGTAGCTATAGAAGAGGGATTGTTCCACGTAACCTACAAAGAGGCAGGCATAGCTTGGGCCCATGCAGGTACCCATGGCCACCCCCCTTGTCTGTAGGAAGTGGGAGGAATTGAAAGAGAAGTTGTTGAGGGTGAGGACGAGTTCGGCTGAGCGGATGAGGGTGTCAGTGGAGGGGGACTGGTCGGGCCTGCGGGACAGGAAGAAGCGGAGGGCCTTTAGGCCATCTGCATGGGGAATGCAGGTGAAGAAGGGTCTAGGCCCGAAATGTCAGCTTTCCTGCTCGGCCTGCTGTGTTCATCCAGCTCTACACCTTGTTATCTCAGATTCTCCAGCATCTGCAGTTCCTACTATCTCTGAAACTCTTCTTTGAAATCTCTCCCCAACAGGAACAGTTCACAGTGAAGTCCTGGGAGGCTCCTGTCAGTCAGGGGGTCCTGTTACAAAAAGGCAACTTCAGTCTTCAGGACCAGTCCAGGGACTTGTGCATAGTCAGGCATGTGGTCAGGGTAAAGCCTATGGGTTTGATAGGGACAGCTCCTAGGAAAGGGTTATTGATGTTTGGAGGGTTCATCTACACACAGAGGTTGAGCCAGGAACTCACTGACTGTAGACTACTCCCTTTAGACTTTGAAGACGTGACCAGTTGCTTGCACGCATTTGCATTTTTGTTGGTGGTGAGATTGACATAGCGATGAACCAAAAAGCAACATGTTCAACCCCTTTGACTGAAGACCACTGACCAGCATGACAAGCTGCCTGGCTATGTCTATGTACCAAGTAGCAAAGCAATGCTGCAGTTCTGTGAGCGTTTCAGCTTTGGCCACACTGAAAAGCCAAGGCAAGGCAAGGAACAGCATGACCAGGCAAGGATGCTGTGGGCATCCGAGTTGGTGCTAAGTGAATGAGTGCTAAAAGTGCAAGAAAAGTGTCCTGAGATGCAGCCTGGTGCAATTAGTAGCTGAGTGCCTATCCCTGAATGCAATGTGTCTTTGTAGCAGCATTGCAATGGTCATTTCTGATGTACCCCAAAGCATGTAGTAAGTGGATCAGAGATGTCCCATGATGGTGAAGCAAGGCTTGCACTTGTTGAATGGCAGAGGGTGTGGATGTGGGGTGGCTGCAGTTGCTGCTTTGGAACATGCCCTGAGATGTTGGTGCTGGCTGTTCAGGTTGGAGGTCCACAGGAGCAAGTGTCCAGTTGGAGTTGCCAGGTCCCACTCTGACTTTCATGTCAGGAATTCTCAGCATCTAGTTTCTATTCAGTTTATGGTCAGATAGGAACCTGCATATTAACGGGGTGAGATTCAGCGTGAACGAGGCTGATATTGAGCAATGATCCTGTTAATAAGCATCTCTCTGCATTCTAGCGAGGATCTCATCTATCGCCCTGAACTCTTTTGGAAAATGCTACTTGCTGCTCCTGACACCGAGAAAGACCTTA